AAATTGAAAAAGGAAAGCGAAATGAAAAATGTAGAATTTTTTAAATGTTATTAAAGCCTTAATAAGTGGAGTTGATAGTGTTGAGCATATTGTTTCTAGAAGGATTAAGGGATGCATGGATACAAATTTATCCAAAAAAAAATCTAATCATTCATTTCAACTTAAATCTAACTCAATATTAAATCAAACTCACTATCCTCAATATTATCAATATAATTAAATAATATTCATCAATCATTATTACAAATTACATCAACCTTAATTTACTATTCATTCACTCACATAATTTTGACTAATCATCACTTTACATTACCTCTCTCTTACTTTTACATCCAATCAATTTTAATTATTTAATTTTAATATAAACTAAAAATCCCACTAACAACTGATCATAACATTTTTTTCAAAATTAAACATGCCAAACCAAAAAAATCCAAACAAAAATCAAGCTATTTTATAACCAAGCATCCCCATTATTATAATATAATACCACTTGTGAGTTGTCTCACATCGTTTATACAGGAAAATAGGCCTAACTTATAAGCCTAGTGAGCTACTCCTCCTTCTACCAATTGATTTTAGGATGAAAGCTTATTTGAGTTTCATTTAGGTTTTTACTGTTATAGTGCACTTTATGTGAGTAGGACCACATCCGTTTTCTCTCGATTCTTACACCCATAACAAAATTGATCAGAAGATACGTTTCTTGTATATTTATTATGAAATAATTAGTATTACGAAATGAAATGTCCACAAAAAGAAAAATAAAAAAGTAAATAACAATTGTATAGTGAAAAAGAAGAAAGAAAAAAAAAAGAAAAAAAAAAGAAACTGCGGTTATAGAATTTATTGGAAAATACTTCTTTGACATAAGATTTTGCATATTAAAGATTGAAATAAAATAATGTGACGCAATTCTAATTAAACAATTATACATAATGCATTTTAAATTGCATATTTTAAAAGTAACATAAATAGAATCATAAAATAACATTTAATTCAAGTATTGTAAAAAAATAAAATGACAAATCTACCTACTTTGACAGTTCATATCAAATTACACCAAAATTTATGAATCTTATTTGTTTGTTCCTATCAACACAGTTTCTTGTTTCACTTTTTCTTTGTCACTTTCTTCCCAGTTTCACTTTATTTTCACGATAGAGCAGGCAAATTGTGGGGTGACAATGACAACCTAATCACATTTATTCACGGGCCAAAATGTTTCTAGCACATTGGAAAAAAA